TGCGTTCTGAGCGAACTCTTTGGTTCCAATTCATACATCAGAGTCACAAAATTATTTGCTGCATTGTTGGAAAGCACGTAAAAAACTTGAACCTATATCGTAAAAACAACATAATTTCTCTATATAAGAAAACAATATTTGCTTGTGCAAGTGTAATAGCAGCAGTAGTACATAAGTCTCTATTCAAAAATAGTCAGTACTGTGCTTCTTGTAGCCTTAACTTTTCTATTGAAAAATTTTGTGCTCTATTGGGTAAACTTATTTATATACAACTCTGTCTGATGCTGCTAATCTTACTCTGTATGGACAGTGTGGTTGACATCAGTTGGTCAATTTCATTAAATTCATTCACCCCTAGCTGCCTTTGACATGAACTGCATGGTGAATAGCCCACACTCTGAATACTGAGAATATTGCCCTGTGACCAGGAAACCAGTAAACTAACACACAACAAGCACTGGGTTAAAAATTCTATTAGTATAACTATAGGTACACATGACCACAAATTTTAAATCAATAGAGACTGTGTGTAAATTGATTCAATGAACTATCTTAGTTGGAAATTGTTTGTCAAATGAACCTACCAAACTGTACAATCATTATGATAAACAATATACCATGACATAATTGAATCATGTCTTCTGTCTGTCCCTTTTTGCCTACCTTTCAACTAATATTAATATAGTATTCTTTTAAGATGTTGTCAATGTAGAAAGGCTGCACAGTAGTATTGATGAATATTTTCCCTGTGTTATTATATAAATGCACATCTTTGTCAAATATATCCATACACTTATCAATGGTAATCCTCAGGGTATATAGTATTGGGACAATTAGCACTACAAATATATAATTTAATTAAATATATTTTCCAAACTATCCCACTTTTGTGAGCAAATTTCATAATTATATCCCATATAACACCAGTTACAGTTACATACAGTATTTATACCGTCCATCATTTTATCATTCTAAGATTAAAATCTGTCAGGAGAATGACATATACAGCTTATATCAGATTATATTTGCACAGACAAAGCATATATATACTCAACTATGGTAGGTGAGCAAGCCCAGGCAATCATCTTTGTTTGCAAAATATCCAGTGTACAGTAATTGCCCAATAACTCGGGCAATGCAAAGCAATTAGACTCTTGTCATGAGGCATGCCAGCTCATTTCCATATAAAATGAAAATGAAATGTAATAGGAGATACCACTGGAACTTGCAACTTGAACCAATTACCTTTCAATGTAAATTCCCCCTTAGTCTTCTAACCAATATTGCATCACTATTAGAAATATCATTAATATTAAGCTGCAATATTATTATGCACTGTAATTACATACAGAGCCTGATGCAAGTCTTGACCCACACCATAGTTTTATTTTTAGTACCGGTATCCAATCAAAATGTGCCAGGAGAAATGTCAATTTCACATAATTTAACAACAAGCTAAATATAGTTACAGTCACTAAATCTATAATTATTTAATTATATATAGCATGAATTAACCAAAATATAAAAAAATACATTAAATATGGCATGAATACTCTAAAAATAGCTAGAAATAGCCAATCAGAGTTACAACCATAAAGGTAGTTGTAGGACACAAACGTTTAATAACATGTGTATCAGGTCTTCATTTTTCTTTGCCCGCCAGCTGTGAGAAAAATGAAGGTCTGGGCACAGGTTATAATCCCATGTAAACAGAGATGAAATTTGCCTCAGTAAAGCAAGCTGTCAAGTTTGGTATTGGGGCTGGTTTGCCTCCAGACAAGCAAACCTCTGTTACTCGGTAAAGACTGTAAAATGTCAAACTACCTCAACCAACCAACCCCACCCCCCCCCTGCTGGTATAAGCAACAGTATTAATAGGCACAAACTTTAATTATTATGTTAATACAAACAAATCTGCATTAACTGTGGAGCCCATTTTCCACTTTATACACTTCTTGAACTGAACAATGAACTACAATGTAAAATATAGATAAATTTCACTTACTTTAGAGCCCTCAGTTCGAGTTTCACATGGTGGGCATCTCACAGTATAAATATACTTCAATTCTTGTACTCGCATGAAAGATTAGATTCATTCCAAGCCTTGGTAATTAATTCGGTAATTTGTTCTCCGTTTTCTCCGTCAATTTCAAACGATATTTCTTCGCATTATTTGTCTCATTTGCATATAGTGTTTGCATATCCTTGCCGCCATCCATGACTTGAATCGAATGCCTCGTTACGTCACAGTAGATTTTGATTTTGCAACTTGCATCAGTGAACCCGATGCGAGTGCCCGCAATCTGCATGCAATGCATCGCTCAGCGGACAAATCAACCGTGACGTAAGGCTCTAAAACAATAGATTTGATGATGTCACAGTAGATTTCACGCGGAAAAGGACTCGGGACCGATGCATTCACTGATGCAAAATGGCTGAAAATCGATGCAAACCAAATCTACCGTGACGTAGGTGATGCATCAGCCTTTCTACTGTGACGTCAAAGGATGCGGTAAAAAATAACATATTTTGTCGCGAAATTATTGACGCTTAAGTGTCGCAAAATAAAAAGTAAATAACAAAAAGTACACATTTGCGATCGCACGTCGTATATTGGACTTATTTTGACAATTTCGACTGTTATTGAGACTATTTAAATTGGATTTCATCCTAAATATTGTATTCCTGACATGTCAAATTTAAGCAAATATTTGCGGTTTGATAGCTGGAGAGATTCAAAGATATTCTATTACTGAGTGCTTGACCAAGTATTGACGACAGCATAATATGTCTATATATTATTTCAAGCAACATGATTTCTCAATTTTGACCGATGCATTCGCATCGTTGGCATCGGTCTGGATCCGCCCCTGAATCTGTAGTCTCTGCAGTTCCTAATTTCTTCTGGTAATTGGTAATAAAGATGTGCTGTTTGGTCGTGTAATGTGTCCTCAATTAGAGGGACTTGAAGCTGAGAGCCGTTGCTTGATATCAGAACTCGAGAATGTTGACCCAATTGTAGTTTTTGATAACTTGGCCAATTTTTATCGCGAAGCGCTTTGTAACTTAATTTTAGAATGTTCCATTCACGTTGTTCCTTAATAGGCAACCATTTTAACCATAGTACGTCAGCTGATCTAGCGAATATACCCAGCACGAAACTAGCTGCTGCTTTCTGACCCTTTGTAGGCGTTTCTGTAAGTACTCTGGCAGTGAACGGTAAATTACGTCGTTATAGTACAGTTTTGATAAGACAAGAGCCTGTACTAAGTTATTACGGATTTTGAATCGTGAACAGTTTTTGTAGGTAGCCCGTTCGCGGGCTACCCACTATCATATACGAAAAAAACGATGAGCGATGATGATAAGCGTTGATAAGCACGCGATGTTTGTCCGCCGAGTTTGGTTATCTACGAAAGACACTGGGTGCGAGGTCGATAAGCCGAAGTATGACAGTTTGGCGATCGAAAGTTCGGTATTTTGTCGGAAAATCAGAAACCAAAACAACTTTGCTGTTGGGAAGTGACCTGTGACCAAGTCATTAAAAGTCTCAAAATATACTCTAAATTTTGCGATAGATGAGTCGAAGAAGCGGTAAGTTACTTTTTTTGTTCATTTTTTTTTATAATATTTTATAATATAAATTTTATAATATTGATCTGCTCGATTGGTGTTGTAAATCATATATTGTGTTGGGTCACAACAGCGAGGTTTTACACAGGCAATCCCGTTGTTTATGTTTAGGATGTAAAATAGAAAGTCAACCAAATGGCAAATGTGTCGGTGTGCTTTGTGGTTTGGTCGAGTAATATGATTTGAATCTCCACCGTTATTTGTTTGAGTGATTAATACTTCTATTTAAAATGTGGAATCCAAGAGGCAAGAGTTGTTCACAGTGTATTATCTGTCATAATGTTTTGAGTGATTAATACTTCTATTTGAAATGTGGAATCCAAGAGGCAAGAGTTCAGTAGTTGTTCACAGTGTATTATCTGTCATAATGCTATGGACAGTAAAATTTTATGTGGTCCTAACAAAGCCTAACACATAAACTTTATTTGTTCTTCGTTACCGTAAATATTTGAATAATATATTAGTAAATGGCACTAGCTCCTTTAATAACGAAAATGACAAACTAAACTATTAAAGGTCAAGGAATCTATCGCAAAGATAAATACTTATCATGTAGTATTAGAGTATTACCATATATGCACAGAATAGGGACCCAAATTTCAAAATCGTCATGGGTACATCTTTTTTGTATATGGTATAAGTAAGTGTTATAAACCGAGAATGTGGCATATTACAGTATATTTACCCCAAACACAACAAATTTAACAATAAGTAAGAGTTGTAAACCTAGAACGCAGCATATAAGAAGTCGTACATTTACCCCAAACACAACACATTTAACTAGTACCTGGGATATAAATCATATATTTACCTGATAACACAGGATATCGGATATAAGTCATATATTTACATAACACAGGATATCGGATAGAAGTCATATATTTACCTGAGGGGCTCCAGGGCAAATATATATATATATATATATATATATATAAACTACAGACGGTACCGTTTCGGCCTTATGGGCCTCATCAGTGTAGTGCTGATGAGCAGGATGAAAGTAACTGCTATTTACAGTTACCTTTGATGCCTCACGACTGTGGGACATCAAAACCATGCCAGAGCGCTCAAACTGCAAGCAGTGAGCGTGCGCAATGCGTAAGCGGCATGGCTCATCCTGTAGAGCGCTCAATATGACCTAAAGGCCATAGAGCGATATCTAACTATAATATATATATATATATATATAGTTAACAACTAGCAGCTGTCATAAAGTTTCCAGTTCTCTTTTTATCAGCAAACAAAACAAAACATTAACTTAACCAAAAAACGTAGCAATATAAACTGAGCATGCAATAGTCTACAATTATTTAAAAATTGTTATCATGAACATTTAACATTCCTTCAAAGCAACATACAGATCTTATTCAAAATCCAGTTGGATCGACTTGGAACGAGAGTGTGTCATAGGTCATAGACATTGATTTATTAGCACTCAAGATCCCAATTGCAATGTCATCCTCTGATGCAGTGGAAAGATTCACTGTTGGAGCTACATTTACCATTAGTTCTGTTGCAAGGTTGGGAGCTAGTATGACATGTATTCTGCTGCTAGGAACACTAATGTTCTGGACAAATAAACGAAGAGTCCACTGAGAATCACAGGTTGACAGGGGTTGCATTAGCTTGCAGGATTGACATGTTCCAAATGCACTACCGTTTGGTTTTGGTTCCACCTTTCTCCTACAGGATACACAAGCCAACTTCTTGTATGCACTGCGAATTCCAAGTATTTTCACTGGTATCTTCAATAAAGTTGCATCCATCAGCCCTTGATCAATGGGAACAAGTTCATTCCAAAATGCATCACACTCCGATGCAGTAAACGGCTCTGACTTTGGTGTATTCAAATATCTATCATATGCTGATCCCTTAACACGCAAGTGTTTAAACTCATAGGTCTTGTCACATTCTACAGTGTCAACATACTCTTCCCATAAGATAACCTTCATACATGCAGTTGGGTCTCTTATTAAAATTTCTTGCTTCCTTAGTTTTCCTTGAGAATTAGTATTAATATTCTTTACACCGGATACCTTGACAACTTGACCTTTAACAGCTATGAGTTGGTCAGGAGCAAGTCTACTAACTGATGAGAGGTTTATGATGGCATCAGTTGAGGCATTTGTCAATTCGTCTGAAAATTGGAAGTCAACTTGATCATTTGTCAGCGGGGTGACTTGGGTGTACTTGGTTATGAAGATATCTTTACTTGGGTCAGTATCATTTTGCCGAAAATTCTGGAGCTTAACAGGTGTTTTTGTTAGTTCCACTGTTTTCACCTGAGTTTGTTTCTCAGGTGAGAAACAAACTGCTCTAACAACTTTATCTTCACATTGTAATGTGCAATTGAAGTATTGCCTTTTCCCATTGTTAGATGTTTTCACAGGGGAAACATTGTGTATAAAACACTCAACAGAACCGGCTTTATTTGGGGTACCAGGACTCTCTGTAAAGAAATGAAACAAACATATTTCAAATATATTACTTATTATGTACTATTAAATCAGGAATGTAGCTGATGTACCAATCAATTCCAAGGTTGCCATAAAACTTTTTTTACCCATTTTGCAAAAATGTTTTGTTGGGAAAATGTTGTTAATAGAATATAGTAGATTAGAACTATCGCACACTTTAGTTCTGCAAATATTTTAGCGTAGCTGTACTTAGATTAGAAGGTACATATTCAAGAATATTCCGCTTGGGTCAACACCTTGTCAAATGGCATTGTATTTCTATGGTCTGTTTTAACCAAGGCCAAAACAAAAAATATGTGGGTTTCCTATTTCTTCTTATAAAAACTTAGGTAGGGTAGGTAGGTTTTAACTTTTTTTATTAATTTTCCTAACAACCGGACGCCATTTTGTTTTTTGTTACTTACAAGCATGATGCAATAAAAAAGTTTAGGGTCGGGATTTCGACTTCCAAAAGCTAGGTAGGGTTAGGAAACAGGAACCAACATATTTTTTGGCACAATTAAGTTGCAGAGCTTCCCCATTGACGAGTAAAATCGTCTAGTGTTGGACAAGTAAAAAAAATAAGTAGGTGCACATTGTGGCTCAATCAGTTATTAATATGTGTCTAATAGACTTTCAGGTACGTTGTTATTGTTTAACACTAATACTATCATTTATAATTGTTGATAAAGGAGTCAATCCATGAAATAACGAAAAGCTTTAAAGGTTAAACAATAACACAAGATCAAAAACTTCGTCTATCAAGTATCAACTACGATTTGTCAGACACAAACCTATCCTAGAGTATTGCTGTACTGTTTGGGGCAATTGCTCCAAAGAACAACTCATCAGATTATTGAAAATCCAAAAACGATGTGCAAGACTGATACTCAATGCTAATTTCCGCGATACTGCGATTTCCAGTTGAGTATGGAATTACGAAAGTTTGTTCGTAGACTTTGTTCGTTAACTTTTGTCGTTTGAAAACAATGTTTGTGACGTCATTTTATAATGTTACCAGGCAAGCACACAATGTTGTCAAGTAAAAACCGTTAAAAACTGCCAATCATTACAAAACAAAATAAGTTTCTATTTATAGTCGTGAACTTGGCAGTATTTTACTTGACAACACGCCTAACAACATTATAGAATGATGTCACAAACATTGTTTTCAAACGACAAAACTTGACGAACAAACTTTCGCAATTCCATACTCAACTGCAAATCGCAGTAACTTTGTCAAACTATTTACAGAATTAGGATGGCTGCCAATTTCCGACACTATAAACTGCCGAAAGCTTTATATGTTACATAAAATTAGTTTAGGGCATTGCCCAGATTATTTTTCGGAATACATACGTTATCTGAAAGATTCGCATAATTACAATACTAGAGCATCAACCAACAGAAATGCTGTAATACCTACTTACAAAGAGGTATCAGGAGCGCGAATGTTTCATACAATTTGTGAACAAATTAGAACAGAAGCATCTACTAGAGAACGCTTAATTGCAACACTTTAGCATAAGAGACTACATTTTAGTATATATTTTTTCTAAATTGTATTTTATATATTGTAGATAGGAGGCCCATAATGAAAACTATTGGGAAACCAATAATGTATGTTAGCCTCGTTAAATAAAGTCATATTATTATTATTATTATACAAATCAAAACAGGAACCAAAAGACTCGATACTCCACTAGCAGGGTAGCTTCACACATCAGCCAGCCAAAAACAAATATAAAAAATCTAGCAAAGCTTAACGAATATAAAAACTATAGTTTTATAGAACAAGACGGTCACATTATAAAACGTTGGTAACAGGGACTCATGGTTATTGTTCCATTATATTGAAAAGCGCCATACCTTTGGCCGTATGGACGCACAAGGATCAAGTTTAATACATGTGGTTTAATACTGTTTGACTTTTAAAGTTCGTCCAATTTTATCAACCTTCTAAGCGTTTTGAAAGAAAGGAGTCATAACATTTT